CAGTTGGGAAGAAAGTTTGACCAATTAATCATCACTTCCACAGCTATTAATCCACCCCTAAAGCGACCACCTCTATCTCGAGACCCATATAAGACTCCGCTTACTCCGCATCCACCAGAATTCACACCTACCAATAAAATCACTGAAGAGCGCTTAAAGGTTGTTAATTTTGGACCGGAAGGATGGCTTTGGATAGAGGAACTCAAACTGTTTAAGCACGTCATTGTTATCAGAGAAAAAGCTTTGGCATTCTGTATGGAAGAACAAGGACTTTTGAAACACTCTTACGGACTACCTTACGTGATACCAGTCATTGATCATATACCGTGGCAGAAGAAACCAATACCAATACCAGCTGCTATTAAGGATGATTACGTGGAACTAGTGCGAGAACGAATACGGACCGGCTTATACGAGCAATCCACTTCCAGCTACTCTAGTCCAGTTTTTTGTGTTGCAAAGCATGATGGAAAATTACGGATTGTGCACGATTTACAAGAAATGAACCGAGTAACCATCAAAGACGCAGGATTACCACCAGCAACTGAAGAATTTGTAGAAGCCTTTGCGGGACGAGCCTGCTATGGATTAGGAGATATTATGGGAGGATACGACAAACGAGAATTGGCGGAAGAATCAAGGCCTTTAACCACTTTCGATACACCTTTGGGAAGATTCCAACTAACCAGACTTCCTCAAGGGGCCACAAACTCGGTTGCAGTCTATCAAGCTCAAATGATGTGGATTCTTGAAGACGAAATTCCGGAATACGTTGGCGTATTTATTGACAATGGTGGAATAAAAGGACCTCGATCAACTTACAACGATGAAGTTTTGGAAGAAAACCCGGGGATTCGAAGATTCATCTGGGAATATGCTCAAACTTTGGAGAGAGTACTTTTTAGGATTGAAGAAGCCGGACTCACTATATCTGGAAAGAAGTTTGCTTGCTGCGTACCTGCATTGGATATTGTTGGACACGTGGTCAGCAAAGAAGGACGAAGAGTATCAGTACAGAAGAAAAACAAAATCACTACATGGCCAACTCCAAACAATCTCACCGAGCTACGAGGATTCATGGGAATAGTCACTTATGTCCGCATTTTTGTCAAAGACCTAGCGGAAATTGCGGCACCTCTACGGAAACTCACACGGAAAGATATTAGTTGGGCCTGGTCCGGAGAGTGCAATGAAGCATTCAACAAACTCAAACAAATAATTGGAGAAGATATTACCTTGAAAAATCTGGATTATTCGGAAGGCGCAGGACTAATTGTACTAGCGGTGGATTCAAGTTTCATTGCGGCAGGAGCAGTTTTGGCCCAACAAGAACTAGATACAGGATTGAATAGACCGGTGTTATACGAGTCGATAGTGTTTTCACCCGTGGAATCCAAATATTCTCAGCCAAAATTAGAATTATGCGGAGTCTCTCGAATTCTCAAGAAACTGCAAACACTTCTTTGGGGTCAACATTTCGAATTACAAGTTGACGCACAATCACTTATTCAAATGATCAACTCACCTTCACTCCCAAACGCGCCAATGACACGATGGGTGGCCTTTATTCAACTCTTCTCATTTGACATAGTACATAAGCCAGGAAAAACATTTACTTTACCGGACGCTTTATCCAGAAGACCTATCAGTGACGAAGAGTACGAATTCTATGAAGATCAGCCGGACTTTGATGAAGATGAGCCAGTAATACGAGCAACTTTTCAGTTCAGGACATTCTCAATATCAGACGAACTTTTGGAATGGGAGTCACCGGGATTTTGGATGGATCTCAAGAATTACTTAAGTACGATGAAACGGCCAACAGGCATGGATCCTGAAGAATACCGGTCAATAAAGCGGAAATCAGTTAACTTCTTTATCCAAGATGGACGACTCATGCGGCGACACTCACCCATGGCTCAACTAGTTATCTCCAACATATCTTACCAAAGCAAACTCTTGAGAAAAGTTCATGAAGAATTGGGACACAGAGGATTGGAGGAAACTTATCAACGACTGGTTTGCAGATTTTGGTGGCCCAGTTTGAAGAAGAAAACAAAGTTGTGGGTTCAAAGTTGTGAGGCCTGCCAGAAAAGAGATGCTTTAGTACCTAGAGAAATCAGGGACCCAACCGGGGCGACGACTTTATTTGGACGAGTGGCTTTGGACGTTTGCCATATCAAAGCTGGACGGTATAAATATTTAATAATTGCTAGAGACGACTTATCGGGATGGGCAGAAGCAGCACCATTGGTCAAATTAACGGCATCCGCTATTGCTAAATCCTTCTAGAAGACTGGGTGTATCGATACGGAGCAATCAAGACAGTTACGGTAGACAATGGGCCAGAATTCAAGAACATAACACGGCGGTCGAACTCATTCAAGGTGTTAGGAGGGAAATCATCACAAAGCCAAACGAACTCGGGGGCAATACCTTCGAAAATTCGCATGACATCCTCTTCAGTATACAAGCAGGTGGCTTCCGGCGGTGGATTTTTTTTGGAGAGCAGGCCCTGGACGGATGTGTGCTCGAGGTGAAGGAACTCGGAGAGCGGCGGATAGGTCGAGGAATCGGACATAGAGGTCGAGGCCGGAGCTGGATGAGCACCAGGAGCATGCGACTGGAGGTTGGCGGCCACGAGCGGATTAACAGCCGGAAGGACGAGTCCAGGCGGCGGGTTTTGGAACTATAGAAGACAAGAATTATAATTCAGGATCAGTAACCTGAAGACAACAAGGAGAACAGAAAGGAAGGAAATGGACGTACCACGGGGTCACAGCACACAGGCATGTCACAGAAGGGATAAGGATCAGCAAATCCACGAGTAACTGGAACCTCATCCGGGATCGTGGACTAGAAGGAAGGGAAGATAGGGTTAGGGTATAATAACAAACAACCACGGAACAAAAAAAAAAAAAAGAACAAAATTAGCTTACCAAATCGAAAGTCCTGGCCGGATCGTAGAGGCGTTGCCACTTCTCCTTTTGAGGGAGGTAGTGGGTGCCAGTCTGGATAAGCTCCATCCCATAAGGAAGAGGGATGGGAGCTGGGAAGGCCTTGATAGGCGGAGGACGAGAGAAGTCAGGAGCGTTGTCAAGGACGGTCTGGCGACGGAAGGTTATCAGCTCAGCATCTAGAATGAACAGCAAGAGATCAAGACTTACCGCTTTCATTTCGGTGTCTTGATCAGCCATGGGATCAACCTGAGTGTCGGCAGGATGATCAACCTAGAACAAGTAGAAGAGGCGTAAAGAAGAATCAGGCAAACTCGGCAACACAATAAGACAATGAAGAAAAAGGACAACTCACCGGATTAGCATCAGGACCGGAGATTGGGTCGACAGGAATGTCCGCGGCGCGAGGGGTCTATATCAAACACAAGCTGAGCCCCATCAGTAAGGCTAGTCAAACAAGAGATAAGCAGGAGAAAAAGACAAAGACTCACCTCAGCGTTAGGCACAAAGAGCGGGCTCCAATTGCCGCGCTCAGGGTAGTAGCGGATCCCGTTCTGCACGAAGGAGGTCTAGAAACAGAGACGGGATTAGTACTCGCAGACGATCAGGATTAGAATCAAAAAGACGTGAGGACTTACATCGTTGGCGGGAGTCGGATTGGATAGCGCTTGATAGCTGCGAGGGGCCGGGATTTCGACAGGTGACGACATGGTAGAGTGTTCAGAAGACATAGCGATAGCGGTGGGAAAGAAGATGCAGCAAGGGTTGGAATACGACTTGGGTTGAAGCGGATGTGGTTAGATGCTGGAGTGAACTGGTGAGGAGGAGCTGAAAACCAGGAAGCGAGGCTGCTATTTATGGACGAGACGGGGGCGCTTGCGAAGGAATCGATAGGAGCGAAGACGACCCAAGGTGGCTTCCAGTATGAAGGATGCATCGTGGTGGTTCTAAAAATTCAGATTCAACTAATAAGAAGGCAGGATCAAAGACGGGTCAGTTCAAAGAAAACGAAGTCAATAGCAAGCAAGATCGCGCTAGAAGTAAGATGGATATTCAAATTAGAAGGCGATGGAATGACTTACCTCTAGAGCTAAAAGAGCACGAATTCGCGGAGGACGGAGAGTAGAGTGTATACCCGCCTGTTGTTTCAAGTCACAAAGTGTCAGCTAGGGGGAAAATTGACTAGAAGAATAAAGAAAACGGAGTCGCTTACCTGTCAGATGGATCATCAAATTGATGGGCGGCCGCGTCGTGAGGAAATCGAGACCAGATGAGGAGAAGAAGCTAAGTCGGATTCGAGATAAGAGTGGTGTCGGTCGAGTCGAATGCAAGATTTTGAAGTGAGTTGGTGACGGGTCGAACGAGAAAAATGAAGAGCAGAACCCACGGGTGGATCTACAGTGGAGAGAGGGCACACCCAACACCGATCGAACCGGACCCTGTCACACCTGTGACAGGACTGAAACATTCTAGCTACAGCGCGAACGAGTCGGATTCCAAACCAAGCACGCCTTCAACTGCACCTTTAGTCGAGTTGGTAAGGGCCTCATCATCAATTTGAGCCCTGGGTTCAGGCCCCACCCTCACCACATTCAACTCTTGCACTCTGCAACCTATGGAGTTGGTTCTTGATCTGTCAACTATATTTTTAGACATCAACTTTTTTCCTAAGTTTTATATACCACTACACAAAAATAAAAGTCATTTTTTCTGAGGACTCAAGTTCAATCCCAGTACTTGATGAAAATAAAATAAAATAAAAACCAAAACAACATAAAATAAATAAAACAAGACAAAAAACATATTTTTTACAATCAAAAAAGTTGGACAAATAAACAAGTTCTCCAGCTGTAAGATTCATTCACAATACTCGACAAACAGATCCCCCAACGGTCAAATCCATAAGTTCTCTGGACGCACGCTTTGTCAAAACTCGGGGACACAAATTCATCATCAACTCAACACCCCTCAAGCCAATCAGACACACGCAAGGCCAGGCTCTTTCAATTTCTTCTGTAGATATAACTCCAAAACACAGTCAAAGTCAGAATTGACTGGGGACAGTCAATAAGTTGGGGGAGGATGTGGTAATTATTCCTGTGTTTCTACGCCAAAAATATAAAAATTTATTATTATCTCTCTAAATATTGAAGATAGGGTAAAAATAACATCAAAAATGGATTCCTGAGGTAAAATAAACCCTACTCACTCACTACAACTACCCTCTTATCTCTACTAGTTCAGAAGTTACACTTATCTCGAGCTGTCACTGGAGTTTTTCTTTATTATCTACTCTGACCACGTCTCATTTTGAATACTGGATGCATATTTCATATTGGATTCCTTTGTATCATATTGAATTCCTTTACTGGCTTATATTTCATATTGAATTCCTTTGTAGGTGCACATGCATTCCTTTGTAGTAGGACCTTGTAGACTAGCTAAATCCCTCAAGGCTGTGCTCCCACCAGCTAAATTCCCTCACCTGCATGTACTAGGCTAGCTAAATTCCCTCATTGGATTTTCAGGCCAGCTAAATTGCCTCACCTGCATGTACCCTGGAGCTAAAGTCCCTCACTTTTGTCTATATAAGGAGGCCTCTGCCTGCCAGTTGTACCTTTCATCATCCCACCAGTGGACCAGATCATCTCAACCACCCTTACATCACCACCCATTA